AAGGTTTATCCGTTAAAGGAAAGCTCTCAAAGAAATATGGTAAGTATGAGAGGAAGAAAGGTAAACTTCTACCTATTTCTTATGGTGGTAATGCCTCTACAATTAGGTGTTATCACTGTAAGAAAGAGGTACATACAAGAAAGGTGTTCCCTAAACGTCTGATTAATCATGGTGGAAAGAATAAAGGTAATGCAACCATTATATAAGATGATTGTGAATCATCTGATGTCCTGGTTGTTTCCTACAATGACTCTAGCAAGGAGTGGATTGTGGATTTAGGTTGTACTTAGCACATGATTCCAAAAAAATTAATACAATTTTGAGGAATTATTTGATCAAGATGGTGGATTAGTGATGTTGGGAAACAATAGAGCCAACAAGATTGCGGGAATTGAATATGTCAGATTCAAGCTACATGATGAATCAATAAAGCTATTGATTGATGTCATGTATGTACCTGATATTAAGAGGAATTTGATTTCTCTTAGTGAATTCGACAAGAAATGATATGTTTTCAAAGAAGAGCAAAGTATCCTAAGGATAATGAAGGGGTCGAAGAAAGTCTTGAGATACATCAAAAGGAAAATCCTATATACCATTAAGGCTAAGATTGTAAGTGGTTCAACAGATGTGGCATCTATAAAACCTGTGTCAATACTGAGTTATAACACAAGAGACTTGGCCATGTCAGTGGAAGAGGCCTGGTCGAATTGTCAAAAAAAAATATATGTTATGTGGTGATAAGGTCGAAAAACTGGTGTTTTGTGAACCTTATGTATTTAGTAAATTCTATAGGGTGAAGTTTAACAAAGGTAAACAAATAACACATGGATCCCTTGATTATGCACATGTTGATCTTTGAAGGCCTGCAAGAAATCCTTCACGCTCAGGTACAAATTATTTTCTACCCATAGTTGATGATTACTCACGAAAGTTGCGGGTATTCATTTAGAAAGCTAAGGATGAAAATTTTGAAATTTCAAAAGTTGGAAGACTCTAATCAAAAGCCAAACTGATAGGAAGATCAAGAGGTTAAGGATCGACAATGATCTTGAATTTTGCAATGAGGCTATCAACAGATATTGTGTTGCGTCTGGTATTACAAGGCACAGAACTACAGCAGGAACTCCCCCAAAAAAATGGTTTGGATGAAAGGTTTAGTAGAACCATTTTGGAAAGAGTGAGGTGCAAGATGGTTAGTGTAGGATTAAAGAAGGTTTTTTAGGCTGAGGCGGTCATATTATATACATGTTGATCTTTGGGGGTCGGTATGAAATCCTTCACACTTAGGTGCAAGATATTTTCTATCAATAATTGATGATTACTCATGAAAGTTGTGGGTATTCATTCAGAAAGCTAAGGATGAAACTTTTGAAATTTTCAAAAGCTGGAAGACTCTGTTCAAAAACCAAACTGACATGAAGGTCAAGAGGTTAAGGATCGACAATGATCTTGAATTTTGCAATGAGGCTTATGACAATTATTGTGCTACGTCTGGTATTATAAGGCACAAAACTACTGCACATACTCCCTAAAAATGGTTTGGCTTAAAGGTTTAATAGAACCATTTTGGAAAGAGTAAGGTGCTAGATGGTTAGTGCAGGATTAAAGAAGATTTTTTGGGCTGAGGAAGTCATGACTGCAACTTACCTGATAAATAGATGTCCATCGACTGCTTTGGAGATGAAGACACATGAAGCAGTTTGCCTAGGTCATCCACCAGACTTCGACAAACTTAGAGTATTTGGTTGTGTAGCATATGCTCTCATTAGGCAAGTCAAGGTCGAACCTGGAGCTCTAAGATGTATGTTCCTTGAATACCCTGAATGAGTCAAAGCTTATAGGATATGATGCATAAATCCAATCACTGGAGGTGTATAAAGAGTTGAGATATAGTTTTCGATGAAGCTGATATAACTTTTAATAAAACTAATGAAGTTGGTCAAATTATATAGAGATCTCTAGACGAGAGCTGGAATTGGAAGAGATTCATGTTGAGCTGAAATATAGTGATGTTGAACTGCATAATCCAGATGAAGTCAAAGAACAAGCACAAGTTATTGATGAAGATGAGGAGACTGGTAATAACTACCTGCTGGAAAAAGACATGTCGAGAAGAGTCATCAAGCCACCTGAGGGACTTGGTTATGTAAATCTCATAGCTTATGCCTTAATCTCTGTAAGTGAGCTTCTGGATTAAGAACATAGAGACTACAAGAAAGTTGTGAGAAGTCAAAATAAGACTGAATGACTTAAAGCCACTGATGATGCGATGAAATCTCTTCATGATAATAACACTTGGGAGCTGATTGAGAAACCTGCAGGGGCCAGGTTAGTCAATTGTAAGTGGATTTTCAAGGTTAATGAAGGAATCAAATGAGTGATGTCAGAGCGAATTAAGGAAAAGTTGGTTGCTAGGGGGTTCACTCAGAAAGAAAGATTCAACTTTAATGATGTGTGCTCCCTAGTTTTAAAGCATAAATCCATTAGAATGTTCTTATCCATGATGGAAAAGTTCGACTTAGAACTTGAACAGATGCATGTAAAGACAACTTTTCTGTATGGTGATCTAAATAAAACAATTTTGATAAGGCAACCTGAAGGGTATGTCAAAAAGGGAAATGAATATTATGTGTGTGATTCGAATAAGTCGTTAAACGCCCTAAAGTTTGACAATGGAATAGGAGATTCGACAAGTTTATGGAACACATAGGTTTCACTAGGATCCAGTTCGACCACTGTGTTTACTTCGTATTTCGACCTGGAAATTCACCTGTTATTTTGTTGATTTATATGGATGGCATCCTCATAGCAAGCAACAATGTTGAGGATGTTATGAAGGTGAAGGATGAACTCAATAAAGAGTTTGACATGAAGGATCTGGGAGATGCCTCTAGGATTCTTGGGATTAACATTCGGAGAGATAGAAAGTAGTTGAGATTATGCTTATATCAAGAGACATACCTACTGAAGATTCTTGACAAGTTTGGTTTGTCGAATTCAAAGTCAGTTGTAACATTGATTAATCCTCAACTTAAGTTGAATAAGACTCAAATTCATAGTACTGAAGTCGAAATAGCCTCTATGAATAGCATTTCATATGCTTGTATAGTAGATTGTTTGATTATGCTATAGTATGTACGAGGCCAAATATAACATATGTAGTAAGCCTTGTAAGTAGGTACATGGTCAATCCTAGAAAGGCGTATTGGAAAATATTGAAGTGAATTCTAAGGTACATAAATGGGTCTTTAAGCATAGTCCAAATTTATGATGGAGCCTGTGGTGATGATAGTAAAGCAGAAATCAAAGGATTTGTCGACTCTAATTATGCAGGTTGTATGGATTCTAGAAAATCTATTTATGGATACGTGTTCACTATGTTTAGCACATCAATCAGTTAGAAAGCAACACTTCAGAAGGTTATTGCCTTATCAGCCATTGAAGTGAAATATATTACTCTCACTGAGGATGTGAAAGAAGCATTGTGGCTTGAAGGTTTTGCTAAAGCTTAAACTTCAAGGTCAAGTAATCGCTGTTAAATGTGATAGTCAAAGTGCAATACACATGTCAAAGAATTCATCCTATCATGAGCTAACCAAACACATCGATGTAAGGTTGCATTTTGTCAAAGAGATAATCGAGCGTGAAGAAGTACAAGTGCTTAAGCTTTTGACTAATGATAATGTTGTTGATATGATCACCAATACATTGCCAAGTTGCTAGTTTTTTTCACTGCATGCAACTAATATGATTACATGATGACAGCTAGCTGGTCTCATGGTTCAGCGTTTCTTCTAAAGTGGAGATTTTTAGTTTATGGGTTATAAGCTACTGTTGTAGCAAACTCTGTCGAAGTCAAAGAACTAGTGTAGCTGTCAAAATTTGTTAGGTTGTTAGCTTGTCGAAATGGGTCAATCTTTTGGGTCAAATGTTTAGTATGTTAGTTGAAAGCTAAATTTTAGTTTTCTTATAAATAACATACTAGTCACCACGTCTCAAACAATCTCTGATAATCCTAACTAGAGGGAGAAAGTGGTGTGGTTGAGATTCAGTTGTAAACATTGTTCCTTAATGTGTAATTAAATCAAGATTTCAATTTTATATCACTTTGAATTATCTTTCTCTTTCTTCCCTCTTTTTTTACTTTGTGGTTTTCTTGTTAATCAAGAAACTAACCATACTCTATTTTCTATGCATTGTTTTCACAAAATTGAGAATGTGATTGTTGGGAATAAGGTGCTTATAAAATATACACCTTTAGAAAAACAACGATCAATTTATTTTCTTCTGTTTTTCTCACAAACAAACAATAGTATCTTCATCATCAACGATACATAAAATAAGAAGGAAGAAAGGAGAGAAAAATTCAAATAAAAAATTAAGAATCAAACCAGAATCGGCATCATAGAATATGTTTTGCAACCTTTTTGTAAAAATTCATAAAATTGTAAAAATCATAATATTAAAAATTAAAATAATATGATTCTTAAGAATAATTAAAAATAATTTTTATGAAAAAATATTCAAAATAACTTTAAATTTAAGTAACTTTTTAATTATGATATTAAAAAAATATATTAACATGATTAAGTATCTAAACTAATATTCTCTAAAAAAAACTTTTACAATCAATTATTTATTTGAAATATTTAAAAAAAATTATAAAAATAAATATAATAAAACTATGTAAAATATTAAAATCATTTTTTGAAAAACAAAAATGAACCAAACAAGCCCTATATCACATATGAGTATGGTGTATCTCAAATATATATTTTCCATTATAATATTCCTTTATGTACATACTCACCTTCCTAAGAAAACATTAATTGATGCCCCACCTATCCCATTTCTATATATACATGTTACCTTAGTTTTGAACTCTCATCACAATTAACACATTAAGACAAACAACTTTAGCATCAATCTCAAGGCCATTTCTCTAAACTTTGTTTTGGTTTATTTTATTACATAATTTGAGAGTGATTAATTAGAGTATGGACAATGAGGAAATCCCATCAGCACCTTCTACTCCAGCAACACCAGGTACTCCTGGTGCTCCTCTTTTTGGTGGATTCAAATCTGAAAGACATGGAAATGGTAGAAAGAACTCATTACTCAAGAGTTTGAAATGTTTTAATGTTCAAGAATGGACTTTGGAAGATGGTGCCTTACCTAAAGTCTCTTGCTCTTTGCCTCCCCCTCCTGTCCCTCTTGCCAAAAAGGTACATTCCATTCACATATTAATGCTGCAGTTGAGTAGATTAGTTCATCCGATATGTTATATCTGCTAGTTGAGTTAAATGAGTATAAACTGTTCGTCTATAATTCAATCCATAAAGATAATATTCATTTATATTTATCTAATGAAGATTAATGTGTTGATTAATGTATTTACTAGGTTGGAGCAGAGTTTATAGGCACATATATTCTAATGTTTGCTGGAATAGCCACTGCAATTGTGAACCAAAAGACACATAATTCAGAGACACTAATTGGATGTGCTGGAGCTACTGGACTTGCTGTTATGATCATTATTTTATCAACCGGTCATATTTCTGGTGCTCATCTCAATCCTGCTGTCACCATTTCATTCGCCGCACTAAAGCACTTTCCCTGGAAAAATGTATAAAAGAAAAAAAAACTCTAATTCAACTTCTAATTCATTTTTCACATAAGTGCTTATTTAAAATTTTCTGAATTAATTGTATAGGTGCCTTTGTATATTGGCGCACAAGTTTTAGCTTCAATATGTGCTGCATTTAGTCTGAAAGGAGTTTTTCATCCATTCATGAACGGTGGAGTCACTGTTCCCACGGTTGAATATGGCCAAGCTTTTGCTTTAGAGTTCATTATCAGCTTTAATCTCATGTTTGTTGTCACTGCAGTTGCAACCGACACAAGAGCTGTGAGTATATTATTTCACATCCATATTTCAGTATAAAAACTTTATATATATATATATATATATATATATATATATATATATATATATATATATATATATATATATATATATATATATATATATATATATATATATATATATATTATGAGTGGACCAAGGCAACGTGGTAGAGGAAGTTTGAGGCACATAAAACCAAAAGGGTAAGATGAGATGAGAGTCAATGGAAAAGATATTTGAGCAGCTTTTGTCGCAAATGGATATAAAATTCATTCTTTTGTGACCATTGATTGTATGTATGAACATGCATATATGTTTTGCAAGTGAGATATTTGTCTTTATACAGTTGCACTAACTAAAGACAAGTGGGATTTGGAATCTTAATTAATTGTGTTACACATATATGGAAAAATATGAAACATATACTCCACCTGTCTCTTATATATGAAAAAATATGATGATTAATGACTAATAGTTTTAGAAACTTTGATAAAAGATCTTGTTATGAATTAATTAATTTAGGTGGATTGTGATTGTGACCTGTGGTAACATGATACAGGTGGGAGAGCTTGCGGGAATCGCGGTGGGAGCCACCGTCATGCTCAACATACTCATTGCTGGGTATGTTCCAACTTTGAGAATTTTAAAATGACTTATTTAGGTATTCTTTTCCAAAATGACTTATTGTTTGGACACTTTTACTGAAGGCCTGCAACTGGAGGTTCAATGAATCCAGTGAGAACATTAGGCCCAGCAATTGCTGCAAACAACTACAAAGGCATATGGTTATATATCATAGCTCCTATTCTTGGAGCTTTGGCTGGGGCAGGTGCCTACACTGCTGTTAAACTTCCTGATGAAGAATTCAACTCTGAAGTGAAAGCCTCTTCTGCCCCTGGAAGCTTCAGAAGATGATCTCATCTCGTCCACAAGGTAGCAATACAAGATCTAACAAAGCTACTTTAAATAGAACTTTTGTATTATATAAATACATTATAGTTTGTAATTAAGAAAGAATGAGTGAGTATTGCAATTGATGCATCCCTAGCTTGCTAGCTACATGCGCATGTTGTAATATTTGTGTTCAAATGCATCAATTAGTTGTGCAACGTTATGATCCAAGATAAATTAGTGTTGTTTTTGTAAACATGAATATGATATTGTTTTTTTTATTGGAATTAATCTTAATCTTGGAGATAATCTGAATCAATTTTGATGAACAAAAGTTAATTTTTCGATCGCGTCTCTTGTTCTTCACTATTTGATTGAGTGAATCAACCACACTATGGTTGTAAGATGATTCTACTTTGCACACAGATTTAAAAAGGTGAATGAGAATAAATGTAGGTCTTACGAATAAAATTTTTGGAAGAAAAACAAGAATATATTTCACTGTGCAATTGCATTAAATTGTATTTCTTGAAAATGTTTAGTGTGGTCTCTCTGTGTTGTAATTACATAGAGTCTCTTTTTATTTATAATGAGATTAGTTGTACTTCAAGTGATTTCAAAATAACTAGCTCAATTGTTATACAAAATAAATATTAAGTTCAACTCTATCGAAGTAAATTGATTCGACTTTGTTGAAAATACACAATTCTAGACTCCGATGAAGTTAACTCTTTCGGCAACTACACACTTTGGCACATGTCGAATACACGCATATTTAACACACCACGTAATTCATTATGTTTAAGTTATTTATAGTCATCATTGTTCTCAATCTCTTGAACAATTTGACCTGCACAACATTCGTCATTATGTCTGCAATCTGATTTTCTAATATGTAGTGTTCCAAGCTTAACTTTTCATTTGCTACTTGTTTTCTTAGATAATGGAATCTTATTTTAATGCGATTACTTCTTCCATGTGCTATCGTATTCTTTTCTAGCTTGATAGCAGATATGTTATTGATCTTTATGGTCATTGTTTCATGATTCTTCCTTGTAATTTCTTTGATCAAATTTATCATCCATGTTGTTCGGCATGCACATAGATAGACAACTATGTATTTAGACTCACATGATGATAATGCTACAACAGGTTTCTTTCTTGAACTTTAAACAACTGGTGCACCACCTAACATGAACATGTATCTAGTTGTGAATTTTCTATCCTCAACATCGCAACACCCACACAAAAAAGCTAATTTCCAACAAAAACTTATAAAATCATAATTCAAATTTTAATTTTTACAAGTATAAAATTATAAACTCTCTCATACATTGCAATTTTTAAGGAGAAAATTGCAAACATTTCCAATTACAATTTTTGAACGGAAAAATTGTAAACTCTCTCTTAATTACAATTTTTAGACGAAAATATTGCAAACTTTCGCTCAATTACAATTTTTGGATGGAAAAATTACAAACTCTCTCTTAACTACAATTTTTGGATAGAAAAATTGCAAACCCTCTCAACAAATTATTTTTGAACAGAAAAATGAAAAATCTTCTTTAAACACACAACTATCCAAATCTTTAATACACCCAAAAGACTACATGCTAAAAAAATAAAACTAACTATATATATTTATATTAATACTCAAATTCTATTTTCTTCCTGCTATCCGATGCGGGACTTGGATGAATATACTATTTGATCCAACAAATTCTCACTTCATCAGAAGTCACACATATTTTCACTTTGTCTTCAACTTCATCTTCAAAGCGATCATTATAATTATAATGATTGTCACATTTGTAAAATTATTAATCTTCAATCTTTGTGTCTTCTTCCTCCCTTGATCTGAATAATTATTACTCTTCCTTTATCCCTTGATCAGAACCTAAACTCTGATACCAGTTGTTGGGAAAATAACAAAATATAAAAATAACAAATTTCTACTGACGCGAAAGCATACCCACAAAAAAGAAAAAGAAGCAAAATTTCTAACAAAAACCCATAAAATCATAATTCAACTTGTAATTTTTACAAGGATAAAATTACAAATTTCTCATACAATTGAAAATTTTAAGGAGAACATTTCAAACCCTTCCAATTACAATTTTTGAAGGAAAAATTGTAAGCTCTCTCAATTATAATTTGTGGACGGAAAAATTGCAAATTCTCGCTCAGTTATAAGTTTTATATGGATAAATTGCAAACCCTCCCTCAACTACAATTATTGGACAGAAAAATTGCAAACTCTCTCAACAAACTATTTTTGAATGGAAAAATAAAAAACCCTCTCTAAACACACAACTATCCAAATCGGTAATACACCCCAAAAGAATACATTTTATTATTGTGTAAAAATGTAAAACTAACTATATTTATTTATATTAATACTCAAATTCTATTTCTTTCTACTATCCGATGTGGGATTTGGATGAGTATACTTTCAGGGTATCCTATCTGGATCATCTAGATGTACTTGTAATTAAGTTTTCTTCTAAACTAATCAGGCACATATCTGTGTGTTATAGATCCAAACACCTTTAAGTGGCTTTGACTAGGTTTGACACCAAACCAACTTTCTTCAGGTGTGATACCTTTTAGCCTATTATTAGACACCTGTTTAGTATGTAAGTTGTAGTGGACACAACCTTACCTCATAACTCATTTGGTAAGTGCTTGGACTTTAACATACATATCACCATGTTCATAATGGTTATGTTCTTCCTTTCAGCAGTACCATTTTGTTAAGGAGTGTATGGTGTCACCACCTCGTGCATAATTCCTCCTCTTTCTCATAGTATATTGAAATCTTTCGACACATATTATCCATCATCATTTATCCTCAGAGTCTTGATCTTGTGACCAATTTATCATTCCACCATGGCTTTGAACTTGGTGAAGACATCAATCATATCACTTTTCTTCTTGATCAAGTAAGTCCATAAATTTTTGTTGCAATCATCTATAAATGTAACAAAGTACTTGTTACCTCCAATGAAATCTACCTAGGGAGGACCACATACATCTGAGTAAATCATTTCAAGAATGGCTTTTGACGTGCTTTTTGCATCCTTGCTGAAGCTATTTTTGTGTTGCTTTTTTTGAACACATTATTCACACACTCCATTTGGAATATGAATTTCTGGTAATCTTGAGACCATGTTATTTTTATTAAGGTTTCCAATGTCATTAAAATTTAAATGACCAAATTTGTAATGACATAGTCATTCATCATTGCTAGCTCTAGCTACCAGACACATGTGTTTCAACACATCAAGTTCAATCCTGAAGGTTCTATTATGAGACATATGAGCCTTCAAGATCAACTTACCACTTGAGTATAGTACTCTCATCATCTTGTCTTTGATCACCACCTTGTAATTCTTCTCGATCAGTTGGCATATACTTAGCGAATTACTTTTTATGCCAAGTATGTACAACACATTGGAAATCATCAATTGCTTTTCATCCTTCCTCATGATCAGAAAATCATCAATACGTGTGGCACTTTGGGTATTTTCGTTAGCAAAATTTACCTTGTTCTTCATTGAAGGATTGCCATTAGTGAACCAATCTCTTCTTCTAGTCATATGTGATGAGCAGCCTGAGTCGAGATACCACTGACCTTTGAATCTTTTTCCTTCTTTTGTTGTGACCATCAACAACACTTCATCTTCTTCTTGTTTTGCATCATTTTCTTGAGTTTCTTTCTTGGCTCATCGATATTTACTTGCATAATGTCTATACTTCTTACAGTTATAACACTGAATATGGATTTTGTCAGGTTTTCTTCCATCACCTCTTCCTCTACCTACAAAAACACCTTTGCGATGGCTTTGGCTTGAGAATTGTCTCTGATTTAATGAACTACCTTCTTGTTGATTTCCTCTACCAGTCAAGTTGTTATAGTCTCCTCTAACTTTGTTTCCAATCCATGTTCCTTCGCCTTTCTTATCTTTAGCTAATTGTGACTGTAGAGCCACATCATTATTCGTTTTACTTGTAGACCTATAGTCATTCTTTATGCGTGTTTGTGCGCATGCGCGTGCACGTGTAAGTATGTATATGTATGTGTGTCTGTGTATGCGTTTGCGCGTGCATCTGTGTGTGTGTGTCTATGCATGTGAGTGTATGTGTGTGTGTGAGAGTGTATGTCTGTATGTGTGTGTGTGTGTGTGTGTGTGTGTGTACGTGTGTATGTGTGCGTGTGTGTGCGTGTGTACGTGAGTGTGCATATGTGTGTGTATAACTACGTGAGCGTGCATGCATGCCTATGTGTGTGCGCGCGCGCGCGCGCGCGCGTGTGTGTGTGTGTGAGAGAGAGAGAGAGAGAGAGAGAGAGAGTTACCTTAGTGTCACTTTTACAAAACTTGGATCACTTAGACAGACATGACCCGACGAGCTTTCACACATTATCTGAGATATCTTAATTTCTTCTCTCTCAATCTCTCTTTAAATTATTTTTCTTTCTCTCACATATTTTTATCCATAGTTCTTTGAAAAAACATTAGTGAGTTACATATTTTTATCCATAGTTCTTTGAAAAAACATTAGTGAGTTTAGAGAGGAAATTGTTATGGGAAAGAGTATTTCTGTAAATTTACTCAGAGTTACTTTTTCCTTGAGTCATGGAATCAGATTCCAAGCAAAAATCAGTCTTCTAAGGAAACTTAATTCACTTTTTAGTGGCATGGAGCTAACGTTTTCTTCCCTCACCTTATTCCCTTATTCTCAAAATAATAAAAGAAATGGAGAAAAGAAACAAATTAATATCTTCTGCTATATTCCATTTTCGGAATTTAGTCAGGAGCACTCACTATGTTGCTTCTGCATGCACTCACCACCTGGTGCAGCTTCTATAAAGTATGTTTTATAAACTAATAGGAAAGTAATTGATCAAATAAATGTTTTTACCAGCTTCTAACTGAAATTAGCAAAGAATAAACTTCATGGATTGAAACTTAACAAATAAAGCTACTTATCATTAAAGGAAATTGAAAGTATTTACCAGCACCCTATTGGAACAAAAAATATGCTTATGTGAAAATATGTTCATTATTAATCCAAATAAACACATTATCTTAAGATGAAACATTCCTATTAAGGCTAAACCATAAGGTGTCCTCCAAGTATGCAAATGCCATTTTCCTATCATCTCAGAAACAGTTCAAGTGATGGCTCCGATGTGATTCCAGCATGAACAACTACAATATCTTGGTCTTTATCAACTTCTGCAGCCAAAGACTCCACAAGGCAATCACCATATGTTTGAAGCTAGCTAGCATTGTAGAACAAATCAGAACTAACATATTCTGAAAAGTTGACATACACTACTAATTAGAAAGTGAATGGACAAATCACATATGATTCAAATTTTTAAAATAATGAAGAAGTCAGGCCATAAAGAACCCAAGCTATAAATTCCTAGTATTCAAAAGCATGGTACTACACCTAAAGAAGGTAGCATTCAGTACAAAGCATTTCCAAAAAATATCTACAATTTCATCCCTTATAACACATAATTTAACTAACCACTTAGCAAGAACATTTTCACAAATACTTGGCATGCATATATTGCCATAGTTCCTTATATCAAAATGAAAGTTACCTTGAGGTAGAAGGAGTTTACCATCCTTACTTTTGAATTTTTAGATTGTAATTTGTCTCTCATTTTACTATTGAATTTTTGAGTTGTGTTTATGTGTGTGATTATCATTATCTTTATGGGTAAATCATGTAGTATAAACAACATATTCGCTCAGTGGAAAGTAACAATTATGACACATCCAAATAAAAAATTCAGATGTATATGTGTGTATTTTATGTGTGGTTAATTTGTTATTTATTATCAGTTTCTGCTAACTGTTATTTTTAATTATGAGACTGTCTGTCATCAATTATGTTTTAATTTTTGCAACTTCTCTTTGGTATACTGATTCACTCTACATATAATTAATATGTATTCTTCACCCTACATATGATTAATATGTATTCTTCACACCATTATCTATCTTAAAGTTTGACTTTACGATCAAAGTATATTCTTATTTTAGTTTTATTTTTTTTGATATAATTTCTTACTTATTATATTTTATTATTTTTCCTTTATCATATTCAACCATTTTATTAAAATTCATTCTATAGTTAACATATGTGTTAATGCACTTTTGGTGTATATAGACTGTGATCACGATTCTGAATATAAAGTATAATTTATATTATTTTATAACGATAATTTCAGCATCTTTATTTAAAACTAAAATTTTTTCTTCTTTTACTTTTTAACTATTTGTTTGTAATCCTAATTATATTATTCATTTGTTATTTTTGTTTTTAATATATTTTATGCCATTCAATATAACAGAAAAAAATTATTTCTCTTTATTTTTCTAAAAGGCATTGATATGATTCCTATTTTATTGTGTCATCTTTATTTTTTCATTAAAATAGATTTATATTAAAAGAAAGTATTATTAATGAGAAAATATTATTAGTTTAATGACAATGCATTATTATTTAATAGGTGTATTTTGTAGTTTTAAAATAACAGTAAAAGGGATATATGAAATAAATATAGATCAGTTCAAGATAATGTATCTCTTTATATATAGTTATACATAATATTTATAGATTATTTATAATTAACTATTACTATTTTTTATTTTCTAAAACATAAATAATATTTATTGATAATAAATTTATTATTATTTTAAATTTATTATGACTACTAAATTGAGATATAAGACTGGAGAGAACAAAAAATTTTAATATGACAAAAATCTCACTTACTCTTATCTCTTCTCTCTTTCCATTTCTTTCACTGTTATTGTTATCATCAAAATTATTTTGAAAATGGTTTTACTATTTTTAAGAATTGTGATTATGAGAATACATTGTGCCTCATTACACAACATATAACTATATGTGATAATTTTTTGGCAGTTATAACGAAATGATAACCAACTATAATCATTTTGCTTACAATTTTCTTTTAAATTTTTGATCGTACCTGACCAGAAGAGGATCGATGATCTGCCACACGTCGTCGATCTGGAAGTTGTTCACCCAAAGTGTAGAAAGGAGGGGGTGTACCTGAAACGCACTTCGATGCCAAAGTAAGCGACGAGCAGAGTGGAAGTAAGTACAGAGAGAAAGTAAGAGAGTTAAGTTAGGGTATTTATAGTGAGCACCCAGCGTAAGGCCAACGGTTAGCTAACCCTAGGCTGGGCTGTCAGGCCCAAGGTTAGTAACTGCTAAGGCTGACTTGGCGTCGTGAAGACCAGGACGTGGTCTTCGCCCTAGGGTAACTGTTTCGCACTATCCGGGAGGAGGAAGATCGAATCTCTAGGAAATGGGTAGTTACGTTATGACGTGTTCCTACGTGAGGGACACGTGGAGAACGTGGGGGAAGACCCGAGGAGTCACTCGGGCAGACAGAGGTGGCTGGTCGGATGCAAGGGTGATGTCCGACGAAGGGGAAGAGATAGACTGGCTGGTCGGAAGCGAGTGTCCTGCTCGACGGGTGTTGGCCTGTGTCCGACAAGGAGGTGCCCTGCTTGACGGGGATTCTGCCCGTTAGCATGGTATTCTTGGGCCCAGCTTCATTGGGGTTTGGGCCTGCTTGTTGTCAGCTAAGCTTTGGCCCAGTCCAAAACAATTTTATTAATTAAAATCAATAAAAGAATCTTTGAAAAAATGTTTATGCTTCTTAATATTATTTTTTCATTGACTATATGAAAAATATGAAAACACGTTGAGAAAAATATGAAAATGGGGATGTTATTTTTGTAATAAATTGTTTTAAAACTTGAACCACTTATTATTTTAATTATTTTCTTTTTAAATTTAATTAAATTAAAACAAAAATACAAATTCCAAAAGATTTTTAAATTATTTTTCTTAGGTAAATTTATGTTTAATTAGATTCTCAATCAATCTCATGGTTATTTGTTTTTTAATCAATAAAATTTTATTTTTTTCATATAACTTTCTCAAACACAGCAATTGTCAATTGAGACAATTTTTAACACACCACGTAATTCATTATGTCTAAGTTATTTACAGTCATCATTGTTCTCAATCTCTTGAACAATTTAACCTGCACAACATTCGTCATTATGTCTGCAATCTGATTTTCTAATATGTAGTGTTCCAAGCTTATCCTTTCATTTGCTACTTGTTTTCTTAGATAATGGAATCTTATTTTGATGTGATTACTTCTTCCATGTGTTATCGTATTCTTTTCTAGCTTGATGGCAGATATGTTATCGATCTTCATGGTCATTGTTTCATGATTCTTCCCTGTAATTTCTTTGATCAAATTTATCATCCATGTTATCATCAAAATTATTTTGAAAATGGTTTTACTATTTTTAAGAATTGTGATTATGAGAATATATTGTGCCTCATTACACAACATATAACTGTATGTGATAATTTTTCTGGCAGTTATAACGAAATGATAACCAACTATAATCATCTTGCTTACAATTTTCTTTTTCATTTTATTAATTAAAATCAATAAAAGAATCTTTGAGAAAATGTGTATGCTTCTTAATATTATTTCTTCAATTATAAACAAACACATTGAGAAAAATATGAAAATGGGGATGTTATTTTTGTAATAAATTCTTTTAAAACTTGAACAACTTATTATTTTAATTATCTTCTTTTTAAAATATTCTCTCACGCCTTTTAATTAAATTGAAACAAAAATACAAATTCCAAAAGATTTTTAAATTATTTTTCTTAATTTAAATCAATTAGGTAAATTTATGTTTAATTAGATTCTCAATCAATCTCATGGTTGTTTGTTTTTTAATCAATAAAATTTTATTTTTTTTCATATAACTTTCTCAAACACAGCAGTTGTCAATTGAGACAAAATTTTTAGTTATTTATAAAATAGAAAATTGTAGCTTTCTTCGGCCACTTAAAATTTTATTTATTTTGTGTTATGTAGATTACTTATTCTATATGGCTTTCAATCATTCTTAATTACTATTTTTTTTAGAGAGATCATAGTTACTAATTTGATATTTAAGTTGTCAATTTATTTAATTTAAAATAAATATTAAAAAAAAGATATTATATAATTTGTTGCACGTACATTTTAAAAAAAAACAGTTAACTACGCATGAAGGAAATGTATCATAAGATTTATATCAGAAATAATTTATATTAAAAACAAAATTAAATTAAAAAAAATCTATTTATATTTTAATACGTGTGTCAATTAAAAAAAAACGGACACACGGACATTGAATGCCGTATAAACTCTATTAAAGAATAAAGACAGAAGATTAAAATTGTACTAACCACAACAATATAACTTCTTATATTTTATACTTGAAACATGTTTATTTTACTACCTATAAAAATATATGATTAAATCATTAATCATCATATCTCAAAATATTCTATACTTTAAAAAGAAGAAGTTAGTTAGATCCAAAATCTTTACATTTAACCTTGATGTTGAAAATCAAATTAAAAACATAAGAAAAAAAAAATAGAAAAAAAAAAGAGCAAACGAACTGTCTTCATCGTCAAACAACCCAACTCAACCAACCCAAAATTTATCATCAGAAGATTCACAACTCTTTCGAATTCGATTGAAAGTTTTGATCTTTGTTTTTCAGCCATGGAGGCACCTACTTCATGGGATTCTCTTCGCAAACAGGTTCCAATTATTATTCTTTCCCTTTTCATGTGTTTTATGCTGTAACTTATACTAATTTTGATATGGGTATGTATAATTTGAATGCCCATATGCCAAAGTTTTGGTTTTTCATTATGGGGTTTTGTCAATTTTGTAGGTGATGTATGTGCACCATTTTTTATATATGTGCTTTGAACAAGATTTAGTTCAGTTTCTAGATTTTCAGGTTTCAATTAGTAGAAAAATCTTTTTCTGTTTGTTGGGTTTGGCTTTAAGGTGTTGAATTTTAAATATTTGAAATGCTGTAGATGAGAACTTGTTCCTAGATTTAGGTTCATTTTAACCTAAACTTTGCTTGGGAAATAATCAAGGTTCTTTGCGTTGTGATCTGATCAGTATTGTGTACCCGCAAAGAGTGAATTTGAGTCTGATTATAGATTGGATTTACGTATTTGAGCTCATCTACTCGCAGAATCACTTGTGAAACTTTTTGTGATAACTTATGAAAATGGTTTATGACATGTTTCACAAGTTTTGATTCGACTTATGAAGATGTTTTGGCCATTTATATAAATTGGTTTGTGGTCACAAATCATACTAGCATGATCATCATTATAATATGGAAAAAGACACGCAATTGTTTTTTTATTGGCTTGAAGGTGAATTCATGCAAGTTGCTTTTATCTTCCTTCGTTGCTACCTAGTTTTTACATATTTTTGATTTCTTAGACAAGGCTAGCAAATGATTGATATCCGAATTGTTTTCCTCCAATCTTTTGAAGGCAAGAAAACTTGAAGCTCAATTGGATGAGCAGATGAACACTTATCGTAAATTAGTTTCTACCAATGTTTCGACAAAAGGTGATGCTGCAGAGAGTGATCTAGAGTCTTGGATTGAGCGGTTAATAAAACAACTCCAACAAGTTAACTCACATATGCAAGCTTGGGTGTCATCTGGTGGTTCCGACATGGTTTCTCATACTTTGACTAGACACCAAGAAATTCTTCAAGATCTCGCTCAGGTATTCTATTTCAGTCTGACCTTCAACTATCCGATTACACCGCGTTACCGTATGCATAGTCCTTTCAAATAGCAAGTTATAATATACAGAAATTTGAACGAATCAATATTGTTCCGCGATTCACTATTTAGTACAAAATGCTGTCAAGTTGAGGTACGAAAGCACTATAATGTAGTAGAATTTGAACAAACAGTTATTTTCGGCGAGCTGCGATTGATTATACTGCCTATGTTTTTATGTTGCTTTTTCCTCCAATCTTAAAGATCATCCGGTCACAGCAAAAACACATGGCAAACCTTGTGATTAAATTCTATTATTCAATTCTATGACTCCCCGTAAAATTGGTACTCCCGAATTTTGTGTCCTAGTGTAAGCTAGTTGGTACTTGATACAGATTGTCCAAATATTTTTATTCTTGTAAATTGCTCTTGGATCTTTGGCACCGAGTCTACTTTTCTCTTTGATTTGTACTATTTTACTTGTTTTTGTTTTTATTCATTACTATGAACTAAGCTTAGATGTTATTGAACTGCAGGAATTTTATCGTCTTCGCTCAAGTCATCGAGCAAAGCAAGAACATGCTTCACTTTTAGACGATTTTAAAGAATTTGATAGATCAAGATTAGACTTCGAAGAGGGTGGTGAATCTGAACAGCATACTCTTCTAAGAGAGCATGCAGCTATCAGTCGAAATACCGGACATGTCAGTCATATAAAACATTACGTACTTTTTGAATAATTCCTTGATTTTTCTTTGAAATTCGAAATGATCTTCAACTCTGGTGGTCTTGTTCTGGTCATTCATGTGCTGCAGATGGACGGTGTAATTTCACAAGCACAAGCAACACTAGGAGCACTTGTCTTCCAACGTTCAACTTTTGGTGGCATCAATTCAAAGCTCAGCAACGTCAGCAGTCGCCTACCTACGGTATGACTCTTATCATCATCATCGAATTTTACATTTTTCTTTTCGTCATTCACATATCAACTGTAAGAAGATTTCATCAGTTCGATTTTGATAAGCAATTTAGAGTATTTATTTATTTACGAGCTTTAAATTTGAACGGTCTGATGAAACAACCTCCGATTAATTGCAGGTAAATAACATACTGTCGGCAATAAAGCGTAAAAAGTCGATGGATACACTTATACTTTCCCTCGTGGCATCTGTATGCACATTTCTCATTTTGATCTACTGGATAACCAAATGAGGTTGTTAATTTTTGGTTGGTGCTCAACTTATGTAAACTCTGTTCCTATGCTGAAATGAATTTTTTTTAAAGGTGGTGTTTTGTATTTGTTCATTTGGTTGTTTATCCTTGTAACAAGCAATGCTGAGTAAAAGATCAATACATTAACACTCCCAGAAAAAAAGAGAAAAACAAAGGTTTTGGGAATGTAGGGTTCCATTTCTTTGTTCAATATCAAAACCATAGCTTTTCAGAGAAAGTGGATAGATCACTCTATTATCTTTCACGTCTTTTAAATTATTTTTTAAATTCACTCAAAATTTTCGAACTTATCAAAAGTTTCTTAGTGATATCGGAATTTTCACTTTTTATATATCTGTAATTTAGTGAAAAATAAAGTTTTTATTTTTAGAATTCATTTCTGATAAAATACTTTGTAGATGTATCGGGATTTTTAAAAATGCCAGTCTATATTCATGAGTTTTTATAGGAAATTTTTGCATTTACTCTCCTAAAGTAGAATTAGAAATTCAAAAAATTTTGATAGTTCAGATTCAAAATGTTAAAATTTTTACCAGAAATTCTAAAAATGTTGGGAGTTTAATTTTTTAACATTGTATCGAGAATTTCATAATTGTCGGTAAGTTATGGAGAATTTCGGAAATTTTAAAAATGACGGTAGTTCGTTGGTTTTTTGCATTTTTTTTCCATTTTATAGAGGGAAATGACGACACTATTGCAGGCAGAATCACAAATAGAGCGGCATCCTGGATTAGGGCTATGCAGGCAGAATCACAGATAGAGCGGCATCCTGGGTTAGGGCTACGAAGAGTCTTCCTAATACAGGATGTGAGAGTAGTACCAACTAGTTCTCATCGAAAATGGTTGGATGAGCAGACTCGCACACCCCGTAGCACTCGACGCCGAGCAATTAGATTAAAAGAGCAACCAAGAAATGATGCAGATGAGCACGTTACTAAGGGTGTTCATGTTGAGGAGGTGCAGGGTCAGACCATTAATGACCCAGGTAAGGTGAAATGTTCGCATCAACAGATCTTGAAATTGTCGCATCAAACTCGATTGATCCTTTAATTAGCCTACGGTGAAATGTTTTCCACGTAACCTTCAAATCTTCATCGGTATTCAACTCAATAAGGTCGTATTTCACCTTTCCATCATTACCAGTCCAGTATGCACAAAACTCGATCTTACCCACCTTTCTATTCTCAGTGTTGGCCAACAATTCATTTAACGTGAATCTCAAGACGACGAGAGATGTGGTGTCCTTCGAAAGTCAGAACTCTATAAGAGATTTCACTCCGTTGAAATACAATTCTACCTTAATAAAAAATTGAGGATGAGGCATTTTGAGATGCTTTTCTCAACATTAGATGACCCTTATTTATACAACTTTGGATTCATTTTAGAACACACAAAACGACAGGTGTAATCAAAACTATACAAATATGTCAACAAAATCGTAAATGTTGGAAATTTGCACAGCCGAAATTTTGCATTGGTTGAAATTTCCAATATCACTTGATACTTTTTGAAAATATCGGTATAATTTCAAAGATACCAGAAATAAATAAATAAATAAATTGTATTAGTTCATATCATAAATTATGAATGTACTACCAGATATTTTAATTTATATCGGAAAAATTCAATGAACTATCAAAATTTCCATTCGCACATTTGAATCCAATTTTGTCCATAGGAAATTTTGGAATTAACAAAATATGTTGGAGTATCAAGTTTAATTTTAGGAGTGACAAGTTAAATTCTCAGGTTCACTTAATATTCTTTGTGGGTTCTTTTATTTTCAAAGGTCCAAAAGGTCATATCATGACATACAATAGGAGGATTTTATCTGACATCCCACAAATTATATCTAGCACCCCTATATATTCTAGTAATATTATAAATACTTACAAATTTTTATTAATTACAAGTTGCCAAATTTTCTCTTTGGAGCTAAAAATTTGATAGGTCATACAAATAATCTGATATAATTTTTACCGGTATTTCTGAAAAAATATGGCACGTATAAAAACTTCTACTGGGTTTTTTTAAAAACCTGGTATATAAAAATTTGGTAGGGTTTATTTGAGAAGTTGAGATTTTATCGACACTTTTGTAGGGTTGTGATTGCATTGACAAATTTGCGTGGTTCATAATGAACTATAAATATGCCTCATATATTGTTAACAAAATACCTCACAATGTCTCAGTTTTGGTATCCCGTATTGGGTGAGAATATGGACACAAGATGTCTATAGGGGGGTTGGATAAACCCTTTTCCCTTAAGACAATTTCAAAAATATTTTAGGTTCCATAAATGAAATCAGAGATTTTAAGAAGCGTATAAGTAAAACACAAAAACAAGAGAGCTTGGAAGCATCTCAATAATTATACTAAATGAAATAATGCATGATGTTACTAAGTGTTTGATTGCTTATAATGCAAGTCAATCACAAGACAACCAAAGAAAATTTAAACAAAGTATTTTAAAAACTCTTCACATAGATATTCTATCAAGCCATACTTGGATTCATAATAATTCAATAAGATTGATACACCACAGACCTAGGCTTATACATTAAATCTCTATAAACATTGTCTAACTTATGTGGCATACAATCAATGAAATTTATATAATAATGCAATAGCAATATTAATGGATGCTAGTAAAATAAAGAAGATAAGGGAAGAAGAAAAGATACGCAGGGATATATAGTGGTTCGACATTCGTCCTCGCTTTTCCTACTCCACTCGTCAATGGTGTTAATTAACCACTGTAAAATAATCATGATCATACACTATTTTGAGAAGTTTGATACAAGCATTTTGGTTACAACGAACTATCACACGATAACTCCCTCTATTGATGAAGCCACTCAAACTGTCAACAAAAATAAGATCTCTAAAAGATCTTGATCCAATAACCTTGATATCCACAATAACATACTCCAAGTATTTGTGTGTGTCAATCCACCTGACTTCACTAATTTCTTGTCCAAACGATTGCTATTAGCTAAGCGTTGATTGGACAAGTCCTAACTTTGTCTGTGAGCAATCTTTCTCAAACTCCACCAAAGAAGGATAACTTCCAACTCCACCTTACGAACAATTGATACTTGATCTCGCCAAAGTTTTCCTTGGAGTATATTGAAACTCTACCCTTGATAGACAATAATAAATACCAAACTGCATTCAAGAAATGATATATGCATCCGTTACAAACAACAAACTTCACAAAAAAATATTATATACCTTAATGTACCACTAGTCTCCTTCAATGCTCAATCTTTAAAGATAAAGGTCCTCGATAATGGAAAAGGACAAAGGATGAAGATAATGAACAATGCCAGAATATCTCACAAACAATCTAAAAACACAAGGTATTACTCAAGGAATTAGATGAATGTGAATTAAGAACACGCGCACACACACACACACACACACAAGGTTCTCTCAAATTTCTGGATAAATGAGTCTTGGTTCTTGGCTGTTATCATTAGCTTGATTAATCATGAATAATACAAAAATATTAATCAACTCACTCTCTCTAATTCACTCTAAACAACAAGAAATTGCATAAGAACAAGATATAACACAAATAAGTTAATCTAACACGGATTATACTCAAGAGGTTGTTCTAGAGAATAAGAGAACGATTCATGGTTATGGGCATAGACACACTAAGGATAGAAGACAAAGTTACATATTTTATCTCTACGGGCTTCACCCATATGTTTCACACACTTGTTGCTTTTACCAAAGAAATAACTATTTAAATCAAGAGTGGAAAATGGGTTGTGTGAAGCTTTAATTCGAATTAAGAAGAAATTTTAATTCAAATTAATTTGAGCAGAGCCCAAATATGGCTCCATGGAGACAATTGATTTAAATCAGGATTTCAACTTGATTCGGATCACATGAGGTTGTGATTCGAATCAAGGTCATTTTTTGATTCAAATCAATTTGGCCAGAGGAAATTCCCAATTTTCACAAGACTTTTGATTCGAATCATGATTAACACTTAATTCGAATCAAGTAACTCAGCATCTAGATTTAAAAGCTCTAACTTGTAATTAAAGCCATGTTTGATGAAATGACAAAGTAGTAACTTGTTAGGCTAAAAAATAAATAATATAATGGATCAAAAGACTCTTATTTAATTGAGCAAGAAGAGTTTTAGTGATACAACAACTAAATAACCGAAGCAATTACAATTCAAATGAAATACGAATAAAGTATAAGCATACAAATATTAAATGAGAAGTAAATTACAAATACCCAAATAGACTAAAGAAACTATATTCAAATTGACAAAAACATCAAAACAAATAAGCAATATTATACGATATTGTGACTCCACTTTCACCTCACATTTGTATAATTCAACGGTGTGCGTCCTCCTATTGATTTTAGGTTCATAGAGAAGACCTTTCTTGATGTTCTAAAATCCAAACTAGATAATCTCTTGCAACACACCAACAATAGAATGGTGGTTAAGACCGAGTACCGCTTACCATCACTTGATAATAAATGTAATATTAGGTTCAGTAAGTTTGAGATGAAGGCGGGTAAGGATTTAAAAGTTATATGGAGCACATGCCACAAATACGAAACAAATGGTCCGATCGAGGTAGATGTGACAGTTGTGAGATTTATCGACGAGATTATCAAGATGTTGACATGTCCGGAATCATCTAGTAATGTTTATGTTTTGTTCATGTTATTTTCTTGTTAAGTTATGTTAAGCAACGTTCGTAACTATGTTAATCGTGCAATAATGTAATGAGAATTTTCATGTAATGCAATCTTAAGATAAAATATTAGTAAGATACAAATAATTTATTAAAAACATAAAATAATGTCAACAACAATAGATAATGAACAAACTAATAAAATCTGCGTAGGTCCACCACAGGTAATATATGCTATCGGAGATAACAAGTTATAAATCTCACCATCTGGATTTATCAAATCCATGAGGTTCTTTGAAAGATGTG